ATAAATACAATGACAGGGCCAAAAGTCAAGTAAGTTCCACTTACATTCTACCCACACCCCACTATGTCCAATTAGTCAATAGTGATAATAGTTCACTAAATATTCAATAGTGAGTAGAAGCTCTTCAAATCACACGTCTAATTTAAGCGTTGGAGTGTCTTTTGCAGGTACCTCCCCCTCCGGTCAAGAGTACAACCGATCAGAGCCGGTGACGACTGAGCGGAGTAGTCGACAAGCGAGCGATCCAGACTGGAAGCGAGCGATTCTAACAATCAAGGCGAGCGGTCCAGACAATCCAAGCGTTCAGAAGCAAGGAGGAGACGTTGGAAATGTTAGTCTCTCAATATTGAACTAATACCTACCGAAACATAATATAAATTATATTTTAATAATTATTAAAATATAAAAACATATTAAATAATATTATAATTTTAATTAAATTAAATAATTATGAAATTTTAATTAAAAAAATTCAATAATTATTTAATTTTAATTTAATAATTAATATAATTTAATATATTTAAATATTTGAAATCAGATTTATATTTTTTTTATTTTCATTATTGCTATTTTAATTTTTTTAATATAGCTATTATAATAATAGAAATTATATTTTAATAATTATTAAAATATAAATGTATGTTAAATAATATTAAAATTTTAAATTAAATTAAATTATTATTTAGTTTTAAATCTAAAAATGAAATTTAAAAGATTTATGAATTAGATTTCAAAATTAGTACAAATTTCAAAATCCATTAAAGAGTACAGTCATTTTATCAAGAAAAACTAAAATTAAAAAATATTAATTAAGATTAAAAATTTAATTTTTGAAGATACATAGTAAGAGGTTGGAAATGAAGGGTGAAACATTCGACCTTTTTTCTGTGCCTTGGAATATATGATTGGGCCTTAAGGTCCACTGACTCGGCTTTTTCTCCTTTAACAACTATCAGCTACTTCTTGTACCCTCACTATTTTCTTCCTGCACCCATACACTCTAATATCCTCATTTTACCCTTCAATCAATATTTAGTTAAATCTAATTTTAAAACCCCATTTTCGCCACACCTCCCTCACCCTCTACAGTGAAACACTTATTCTAGAAAACATTTTTATATTACAAATTGAATATTTTAGAAGATATTTCTAGATTTGAAAATATTTATCGAAATACCGAATCCTAAATATAACAGTATTTTTCCTATGCATTTCAGAAAATATTCTTTTGATCCAAAAATATCTTAACACCTAATTCAGAAATATTATTTCTGTTTTTTCTTTATTTCATGTGCAACTCAAGAGTCCAAAAACCTTCTTTTTTTATTGATATGTTGCCTTAGCGTAGAAGGAGGCGTCATGAAGGGAGGTGTTGTGTGCAGGGTGGAAATAGGAATTTCAAATTAGAGTTTAAGTAAATATTGACTAAAGGATAAAATGGGGTATTTAAATTTAGAGGATGCAGGCAGAAAAAATTGGGGTGCAAGAAGAAGCAGCCTCTCCTAATTCATCTTTTACACACAGAATAACTTCTCTAATAAACTTTACACAAATTTGAAATTTAATTTTTAGAACGAAATTAGTTTTCTTTTCTTTCACACACGTAAAGCTATTAATTCTTTTTATAAAATAGTAACAATTGGAAGAGTCGTTATAATTGATTCTTTAACATTCATAAAACATATTAATAATTTTAAAACTATTTATTTATACATATTAACATATATTTTTAAGAAATTACATATTTAAAATGATTTATAAATATTATTTAATTTATATTAATATTTTTTTAAAATTCAATTTTAAAATAATTATATTTAAAAAACAATTTATAATATATTTTAAGTATTATCTTACATTGTCTTCAAATTCTTCCAAAAGTTAACAAAAAGTTACATGCAAAGCAATTATTAAGTATAAAAGTGATTATATTCAAAATAATTATAAAAAAATGCATAACATTTAAATGTATAATTTCAATAAATAAATGATAAAATATTAAGTTACTGAAGATGATAGCAGTTATATCTCAATCAATTTCTTCAAAATATATTTTTTGTTATAAAAAAAAGTGTATGTGAAATACTTTTATACAAACACTATTCAATAGGAAAAAAAATCATATTTAAAACTTTCCATCAGTAACATGACAATATTTTAATATTTAAAAAGTATATTCTTTAAAAGTTTTTTAAATAAAATCATATTAAGCTAACTTACATTTTAAAATTTTACGAAGCATATATTCTTTATAAAAATTTATATTTCTGTAATTTGTGAAATAACTCAATAACTTTTAAATATGATATGTGTGAGCTTCTCCAATCATAATTGAGTTATTGGTATATATTCACATTTAAATTTATGGTAAGTAAATTCGTTAAACCTTTAAGAATATAATAAAATTTTATATTTTTATCATTTCATAAAATGACATGTTTAAGGAAATTAAGTATAAAACAGATGGTATTAAAAATAATGATAATAAAATTGTAACTTTAAAAAGCTTCGAGTTGGAGACTAAAATCATAGATAACATTAGATTTACCATCTTCATTTTATTCAACCATGTTCTTTCCCTTTTGGGGTAAGTTGGTTCACTTCAAAATATTGGTGTTTGTTCTCAACCTTTGAAGATTTTAACTCGAAAAATTATTTATGTATGTTCTTATAAATAAAATTTATAAAAACAAATTTACGCAATAATTTATCAAACTACGTCAGATACAGGTTGGAAAAATAATTTTTCCGCATTCATTACACTTCTCACAACAATTTTTTTCTTTTTACATTCGTTCATTTCTCCTTAATATTTAAATTGAATATAAATATATATGGAGTTATATATTAAAGATGGCTATGAAATTGTCTTTTTGCATCATATCAGCCCATTATGGATTAGATCATCTCGGTATTTTAAGATTCTAATTTGGGTCATATCAAGTTTGGGGTTAGTGTATTATATCTATTTGAAATCATCTAAACCTATATATCTTGGATCATGTTGACCTGTGTTGGTCTGATACATCTTGGTCTATGTTGGCCTCATACATCTCGATCTATGTTGGCTTGGTACATCTCAGTTTATGTTAGCCTAATACATCTTGGTCTATGCTTGGTACATCTCAACTTATGTTGGCTTGATACATCTTAGTCTATAATGACCTAGTGCATCTCAGTCTATGTTGGCCTCAAATATTTCAGCCTATAGTGGCTGAAACATCATGGCTTAAGATGACTCTCGACCTATGATGGTCGGGCACATCTCGACCTATGATAACCTAGAACATCTCAACCTATAATGGCTTAGAGATGTTCTCAACCTAATATGGCTTAAATAATTTTGTTAATTAAAAATATAACTTAGGGTTAAAAGGATTATACAGATAGCTAATCAAGGTTGATTAAGATATTGTTTGCAGGTCCAAACCCAAACAGATAAATAGCACTATTTAAAAGGTAATTAATTACATACTCATTATTATAACAATTACGGCTATATAACACATAGTTGGCTAACTTAAGTGTGAGTGTCTTCTAAAGACGCATTCCTTCTTGAACTTGAAGAGACGTGAACTTAACACTCTCGGCTTCAAGACATGAAGTTGGAAGCATATCTATCTCCTTTTGATATTAAGCTACATTAAAATCCTAAAATATTTCTGTTTGAAAAATAAAAAATGTTGCTAAAAAGAATTGGAAAGATCTTTACATAATTATTTACATTTTAAAAGAAGACATCACAAAAATCACCACTGTTATGGTAAACACAGTTATAAAAATGAAAACTTAAAATATATAATTAATGCATATATACTTAAATATATATTTAATTTAATTAATGAAAATCTTGACTATCGTCCCTCTAAATTAAATTTACAACTCAGATAATTTACAACTCATGTACAATTTTTTAATCTAAATTTTATATCTATAACATTTTTCCATATTGCATAAATATTTATAAACTAATCTATTATATATTTATAATGGAATAACAATAACAACGTAATAGTAATTTAATATATATTTCGTAAACAAATGTAATTATTATAAAAAATATAATATTAATAAGTTTTTTCAAAATAATAAAACAATAAAAATAATACAAATCTGAATTAGAATAAGAAGAAACAATTAAAATCAAATAGTATAGCTGAAATAATAATAATAAAATAGAATTTACAAGGTTTTAATAAATATAATTTATACTTGTACTTATTTTAAGTTTTACACTTTCGAATATTAAAAAAATTAGGTTAAACCCATTCGGAGGTCCGGGTTTTTCCAGTTTGATTCCCGTCTTATAGGTTTTGCCAATTTGGTCCTTGATATTGAAAAATTGATTGAAAACGGCCCCTGCCGTTAAATCCAGATAACGGGGTTTAGTTTTGGATGCCCTGCGCGGTTGACGTGGCCTTTTTTGAGACGTGGCTTGAACTGTATACATGTTATTTAATTCCAGGGACCCTATGATGTGGCTTATTTTAAAACAAACATTTTTAAAATTGGGGTTTTTCTGAAACATTTAAAAATTAGGGTTCATTGAAATTTGAATTGGGATAAAAATTGGGAAGAGGAAATCTGAAGTGGAGTGTATTGAAAGCACACGCGAAGTCCTTAGTGGAGAGGGAATTTGGTAAATTAGGGCATTGAAGGTTGCTATCTAGAGGTTGGACGTGAATCGCGAAGTCCTTCAATGTGTATTGGCAGCGGTTGGTGTGGATTTTCGTGGAAGGTTAGTCTCTATACTATATATAGATATGACTTTAATATTCGGTGCTTTTTGTTGATATCTAACCATGCTTTTTTTTTGAATGTGGGGTTGGGGTTGCCCGAAAATAGATTGTATGCATATTGCGGTTGTGGTCCCGCATGTCCCCATAGTTAAAGTTGCTTGTCTGCTGTCATTATCAATTGATGAATGTTTTAATATTTGGTGTTTCTTGTCGTTTTACATTTATTTATAGTGTAGAATATTCTTTATTGTGTTGTCTGTGATGGAGGATGATATAGAGGTTGTTAGTCACCATGGGGGGAAGTTGGTGAACGAAGGGTGCCTCGAGTATGAAAGGGAAAGTGATACTATGTATTTTGACCCTGACTTGTGGAGTTACTTTGTTGTAGTGAGTGTAGTAAAAGGGCTTGGGTATGATGGATTTAAAGATTTGTGGTTTTCTGTTGGATGTGGTCCTATATTAGATGATAAGCTAGAACCCTTGTGTGATGACGTAGGAACCATGTATATGGTCAATTTAGCTAGGTTAAATGGTCAGGTTCATTTATATGTTGTCCACACTGTGTCTGAACCTGAAGTCATTGACATGATTGAATATAATGTTGATGAAGGAGGTGAGGAAGTTGCACCTGAGATGCATTAGGGTGGTGAGTGTGCAGTATTGGATGAAAGGACAGAAGAAGATGATGGTGGTGTAACTTCACAGTTTGGTGAGGCCACATATGATGGGGTAGATGGTCATGGTGAGAGAATAGAAGTTGATGTTGGTGAGGGTCAGAGAATAGAAGAATAGAAGTTGATGCTGATGAGGTTGACATAATACAAGATGATGTTGGTGAGGGTGAGAGAATACAAGTTCATGTTGGTGAGGTTGACAGAATGGAAGTTCATGTTGGTGAGGGTGACAGAATACAAATTGATGTTGGTGAGGGTGACAGAATACAAATTGATGTTGGTGAGGGTGAGAGAATAGAAGTCGATGAAGGACATGATGTTGAGGGTAAGAGAATAGAAGATGATGAATCACATGATGATAAGACACAAGCAAATGATGTTGAGGAGACAATAGAAGTTCATGAAACACATCATCAGAGTACAGAAGCAAATGACGTTGAGGAGATAATAGTAGTTGATGAAGCACATGATGAGAGGACATAAGTGAATGATCTTGAGGGTGAGACAGTGGAAGTTGATGAAGCACATGATGAGAGGACAGTGGTAAATGATGGTGAGGGTAATAGAACAGAAGTAGAAGAGTTGGAGGACATAGAAGTAGAAGTCCGTGAATGGAGTACATCAGATGATAATGGTGAGGTAAATAGTATGGATGGGTTAGTAGACATAAATATCCAGTGTGACCTCAGAGAAAGTGACAATTATGGTAATGTGGAGGTTTCTGGCAGTGGTCTTCCTAAGTCAGATTTGGAAGAAGATGATATTAGTGATACAAGTTTATTCAATGATGAATGGGAATATGAGGAGTTAACTTCTCCTGACATCAGTGTTGAAGAAAGTGATGTTCAAGAGGGATATGGGAATTTTATTACATTCACTATGCCAAAAAATATGGTTGATTTCAACTAGGAGGTGGGAACATATTTTGGGCACATAAAAGACATCTTGGATGCAATAATAACAATGTTGGAGGAAATCAGACTTTACATCATGAAAAGATGGACCACTAATAGGTCAAGGGTAAAGTCATTTAAGTCATCAATTTGTCCAAAAATACTCAGTAGACTACAACAGGAGGCACTACTAACAAAGTACTGGATTCTCAGGTATAATATTCTTTATTTCTTTCTTTATTTGTAAAGTAATTGTTTGAACATTGTAATTACTAATGCTGTCTAATGTTGACAGTTGGTCTGCACAAAAGCTATTTGAAGTCAGACATGTGTCTCAAAGTGGGGATAAGTATGTGGTCAACATAGATGAATATTCATGCTCCTGAAGAAAATGGAGCATTAGTGGAATACCTTATGTTCATGCATTGGCAGCAATGAGGTTTCTCAACCTAGATGGAGAGGATTACATACCTGTATGCTTTCTCACTTCAACGTATGAAGAAATGTACTCTTCTATTATCTATCCTATTAATGGAAACAACCTGTGGGAGGTAACCGAATATCCAAATGTCATGCCTCCATCAAGCAGAAAGTTGCATGGTCGTCCTAAGAAGAAAATGAGGTTAGAGCAGTGGGAGTTGAAGAAAAACAGCACCAGCATGAGCAAAGGTGGATTGGTAAAGAGATGTAGCAAGTGTAGGGAAGTAGGTCACAACAGAACAAGCTGTCCCAAGACAAACCAAGAACCTGTTGTGCAGGCACAAAGAGAAGAACCCACTTCACTAGCAGAGGCTGAAGCACATGGAGAACAACCACATGGAGAAGAACCACACCAGAGTTGAACAATGTTTTAAGTTTATTAAAGCAAATGTAATAGATAGATTTTAGTTTGATGTAATACATTACAACACTCTTTTATGAACAATGTTTTATCTTTCAGTATTCTATATATTGGTATTTGTATCAACAGTTAATGTTATAATTGTATTACAGAGTTATTATGGGATATGTGATATGTTCTGGTTGTTATTATGGGATATCAATGGCAAGTGATGTGCACATTTTATGCAGAATTGATTGGAAAATTTTATTTCTTACAAATGAGATATGTCAAACCTCAATAAACTACATCAGATATGTTACATTGGTTCATTATAGGCTTATGTGACATGTGATTTCATTAATCATTACAAATTAAATTAATCATTAATCATTACAAATTTGGCTGAAGAATAATGTTCACTGCAAATCTTCATTTCATTAATCATTGATCTGCAACCAATACGTCTTCATTACAGTAACAAAAAGAACCACATTGCAACTAATACATCTTCATTACATTGAACAAAAATACATTAAACTGACCTTCATTACACCTACAACAACAAACAGATTAGGATGCCCTTCCCATCAACATTGCAAGTACAATCATGTTCATTACACATATAATACTAACAAGGCCAACCAAAAATTTTGTCCACCTTTCAAGACCCATCACGGCTTTCTACACAACAACTATCTTCTTATCACTTTCAGTTTCAAAACTCTTCAGCAACCTCTCATCATTTGCTTCCAACACCTCACGGTTAACACTTTCTTCAATTACCTAATCATTGCACCATCTGAAGTAGTTGCATCCAACATTTTCACTTCCAACCTTATACCTAGGGCAACCCCAGAATTGTTTGCCTCGATTCTTATTGGTTTTCACAGTCCTCAACACAGACTTATCTCCGCAATGGCAAATCAGTGATGCATCCTTCCTGTTCCAACCTCCATCTCCACGCGAGCTGACGGAGCTGAGTTGCTTTCGACAGTCGCTGCAACTGCAAGATGAAAACGAATGCCCCGTAGACATTCTTGCGTCTTGTGTTTTCTCACTTCCCTCTTTCGAACCTTGATCTGCTTTCCAAACTTCAACAGCAACCAACCCTAATTAACAACAATGTTTTAGAAAATGAGTGATGTCAGCTTTTAAAAGAGAAAAACCCCAATTTTAAAAATGTTTGTTTTAAAAAAAACCACGTCATAGGGTCCCTAGAATTAAATAACCACGTATAATACTCAGTTCAAGCCACGTCTCAAAAAAAGGTCACGTCAACCGCATAGGGCATCCAAAACTAAACCCCGTTATATGAATTTAACGGTAGGAGTCGTTTTCAATCAATTTTTCAATATCAAAGACCAAATTGAAAAAACCTATAAGACGAGAATAAAACTGAAAAAACCCCACATAAATAGAACCTCCGAATGGGTTTAACAAAAAAAATTATAAAATTTCTTTATAGAAGTAAAAACCCATATCGATTTCTAGCTGGTAGAGTATACCGATACTAAATTATTTTATGTTGTGAATTTAGGATCCGACCCTAAATTATACAAATAGTAAAAATAAATACATTCATTGAGTCTACTATAAAATAATTTTACTTAGGTTTATTGTAAAAGAGAAAAATCTATTTCAACGAGCTTCTCCTCTCATATTTTATATTTAAAATTCTGGATATTTAGTTAGATTAACTTTTATTTTGCTAAACTAAAAACAAAGAAACTAACTAAGGATTCTATTTTGCTAAACTAAAAACAAAGAAACTAACTAACTTTTATTTTGCTAAACTAACAAAGAAACATATAAATAGTTTTGAAATTTTATCAAAAGAATTATTATCCTTTCACAAAATAGCAGTGACTCACAAAAATTTAAACATAAAGCCTTTAATGGAGAGTGGGACCATATAACAAAAAGAAATTTAAACTGATCTTATTAATCATTCTAGAAGACACTCATAATTAATCTTAACTTCTTACTATTTTGCCTATCAATTTCAAAACTAATCTTCAATAGAAAAGCTTGGACTGAATTCAAATATTGTTTAACTTCTTATCATTACTATAGTTTTGATTTAGTCCCAAAACAAAGGGAAGTTTCATGATAAAAACTCTGTTTCAAAGTATACCGTGTATAAAAATTACATCAAATCCAATTAAATATTAGATTATGCCCAATATAAGCATGAAAACAAAACAAAAATAAATTTAATATTTCTTAAACAAACAGAGGATTTAAAAGCATAATAAAATACATAAATAAAAGAAAATATATTGAAAAACTTCATCATTAACAATTACATCAATTCAGCCCGTTTCCCATTAAATAGAAAATCAAACTCAGTTACAAAATTGTTATTAAAATAAATTGCATAAAACATAAAATTAAGATGTGGCTGTAAAATCAAACGTTATGATATTCATATGTGAACCAACATGCAAAATTTTAATAGAGTTTAAGAGAATTAATGGCTATAGCTAGACAAAATATTTTAACATCATCATATTGACTATAGAAGAAATTAACTAAGAAAACACATCAACATATACTAAAGGAAACTGAAACAAGATCAATAAGCCAATTACTTTTTTATGGGTCAGCTTTGATCATTAACATTAACAAGAAATTACCAGAGTTTCAAAATACTCCTTATAGAGTCCCAACCATTAGATTAATAACTCACTCAAATCCTAAAGACATTCTCTAGACAAGCTGATCATTACCCTAATAACTGCTACAACTAAAACAAACTGAAAATCCCAACTGTCAGAAACAAACTGATCTAACACACATTAAGCTTCCACGTCAACACTTTTCTTCCCAGGAGAGCACAAGAGCCAGACAAAACCATAAGGGTCCTTAACCTTCCCCACGCGCCCACCGCAGCACGCGCCTTCAATTTCGGCCACTTCCTCCTCCACAACAGCCCCAGCACTCACCGCTTTAGCTACGGCCCCCTGAACGTCCTCGGTCTCCAAACACAAAACGACACCGTTTCCTCCCGCCTTCAAGCTGACAACGAAATCAAATGAAACTTCCTTCAGTCATTGAAATATATTATGAACTAACGAGTGAAGACCACGTTTGCAAAAGAAAACGAAAGTTACTGGAACTAATACCACAAAACAATAGATAAGACACTAGAGAACAAAACGCAAACAATGGATGAACAAAACAGACAAAAAGGAAATCACGATTCTCGAAAAATATAATTCCTATTAAATATAGATCGAGTGCATACAAGCCAAAAATTAATTTAAAATAGGGACCAATGCACGGACGAATAAAATACAAACACCAAACTTAAATTAACACAAATAAAAGTCATACGATCAAAAAACAGTACCAACAACTAGAACATCAGAAGCAAAAACACCAAAACATGTTCAATATTGATAGATCTATGAAATATAAGCTATGAACATAAACAGAGAAAACTAACGGGGAAGCAGAGTCATCGACGAGGTCAGCGACGATAATGGTGGAGCCAGCAATTTTGAGCTCAGCCGAGAGTATGAGAGGAAGCTCGTGGTCAGCTTTGCGCTTGGGGTTGAGCGCACGAGCAACTTCCTCTGCACCAAACGCAGCCTTGTAGAAGGAAACAGCGTCGTTTGCTTTAGGAGCTTCGACCAGAAGCTGCGGCTTCACGGCAAGGAAAGACACCGCAGCAGCGGCATTCTCCGTCACGCCATTCTGTGCGTCTTGCTGAGCCATTGGGACAAAGAATAAAGGGAGAAGAAGAGGGAAAACCCTAACCCTAAGAAAGAGAAAGAAGAGCTACTGCAGAAGAAAATGAGATGAGCGTGAAAGAAAAAGTTGGGGTGGGGCAGTCTTTATAAAGAAGCGGGGAGCCGAAACGTTTGGGGGCAAAATGGGAATTTGTGAAAACATGAGAGTTGGGTGCATTACTTTACCAATTTTTATTTTAAAAAAAGAAAGGGTTTAGTTTACGGATAAAGGAGAACCTGAGATTGCCCCTAGTTGTGGGTTTAATTTACGAAGCGACGGCATTATGAGGCCAACGGTCTTTTCAACTACATGTAGGTGAGTCCAACGCGCTTTCTTCACGCGCCATTTTGATGATGTGTAAGAAAATGTGAAAAAAGCGTATTTGATATTTTAAAAGAGCAGTAACTCACCTCCTTCTCCCTACACCTTTCATTTTACACTTTTATTCTCCGTTTACTTGATGATTTTTCAACCATCACCAATCTTTCTAACATTTAGCAACCTTAACTGATATAAATCCTAAATATTATTATAATTATACATACATCCCTGACTTTCATTTTTCACTCCTTCAGTTCTTCCGTGAGTGCATTGTTATATTATTTTCTTCAATTCTTCATTTAACATTAAAATCTAACAAAAAAAATCAAATTTTACAAACAAAACAAAAAATTCTCAAAATAAAATATACTTAATAACAAAATAACACAATTCAGGACCCGTAGAGACCCACACAATCCAGGACCCCGTAGAAACCCTAAATCAAAAAATATAGCCGCAAATCAAACTATGGTTGGCCTTAGCCGCAGTTCGAACTGCGAAAAACCCAGATCCGGACTTCCAAGTGCGTTGGCGGCCATGCACCTCCAAAAACTAACCGCAAATCCATCTGCGGTTACTGTCTCACGCAGATCCAACTGCGGCACAACCATATTCACACTTCTAAGTGCGGCGGCCATTAACCACAGTTTCATATGCGATTTGGCCTACAAAATAACCACGACACCAACGATTGAAGAAACGAGGGACGAGAGCTAAGGCACCAACACGAAAAACAGTGAGTAAAAAACTGAACAGAGGGGAAGGAAGAGCACTCACAGAAAGAACCAGGGGTATAAAGTGAGATGCCGCTAAGGAAAAGTTTCAATTTTATGAGTGGATGAGTCAACATTTTTAGAAAATAAATGCTCACTGACACAATAGTAGAGTTATGGGTAGGAGTACAGTTGGAATTAAAACAAAATTAGGAGATGCAGGATGAACTTAGTGAGGTGCAGGAAAAAT